AGGCGAATACAACTCGCGAGCCTTGACAGGGAAACGCTGGTTATACTTTGTCGAACATTAGCATGAGAATGGTTTGTCCAAAACATACATATGTTTGATCTTATTCAATGCAGGAGATTAAATGTCCTTTAGTCATGAAGACCCGTTTTTGATACTATAAGTTCTTTACGCGGTATAACGCAACAAATGAAGCCATAAGACAATAAAACCTTTTGTAGGAATTGTTTCAGATTTGTTAAATTAATGTATCTTATTCTACCGGCCTAGTTGTAGGGTTCCTCGAGAGAAGGGAGAAGTATACATACACCCAAGTTCGCATTTCGCAACCCTGAAAAACCTGCGTTACAACTATGGTGCACGAGAAACTGGGATATTTTGGCTCTTTTTGCTCTAATTCCTACAAACTGCATTCAACCAAATTGTAACCTTGGAGCGGCGTTTTCGCGCGAGTGCGGCGACGTCGGTGGGCGCGCGCGGCCGCTCGTCGTCGGGGCCCGCGCCCGCCGGCCCGGGGCCCGCCCCAGATCGGAAGAAATCGTCAAAGGGAAAAATAAATCTTCACTCGCGACAAGCACTAGAAGAATTTTATCGAGGTCAAAGTCGTAAGTGACGCGTCCGAAACGTAGGTAGCAAACGTGCGACCGTGAACGTGCCGGCGTGAAAGATAACGCAAACGTCGAACGACGAGCCCGATCGGCGCAAGGAAAGTGCGATCGTAACATTCTAATCTACGAGAAAGGAACGGATGGAGCGCTGACACGCGGCGAGACGCCGGCGGTCGGGCGTGCACTGCGCGGGCCCGGCGCGAGCGCGTGCGGTGCGAAGCGCCGGTCGGCCGACTGCGCACAGTTCGACTCGACCGGTCGAGTATTCGAGTTGAACACAACAGTTTCAGTTCATCGCCTGTCACGCGTCGGGGACGGCGGGCGCGGGCGCGGGCGGCGGGCGGCGGCGCGCTAGTCGTTGGGCGCGGCCGCCGCCGCCGCGCGCTACACGAACTCGCGCCGCCGCGCCGCCGCTCCCGCGCCCGCCCCCGCCGCGTCGCCGCTGCCGCTGCTGCCGCCGCCCAGCGCGCCGCCCGGGCCCTCGGGCGTGGTCGGCGTGGGCGCCGCCGGCGCTGCTCCTTTGCTTCTCGCCTGAGGACGACATACGTACGAGTTCGACGATCACCGGATTATTGCAATCTTATATTATAGGTCGCGCGTGTGGTGTGTCAGACGTCGGTCAATTACGTGCAAATATTACATCGGTGCGAGTATCGTGTTCGCCTCCGAATTTCGCTGCGCGACCTACACACATCAACATGAATCTCGTACAAATCTTGTTTAGATCAAAAATACTGAACTGTCCCATCCGTGACATTGACAGCGGGGCGCCACCGTCAATACCGGATCGCCGGTTCCAATTTTTGCCATGTTGGAAACTAGGTATATAGTTGAACGATGGTGGCGTCCCCCTGTCATTGAGTTTGGTGGGACAATTCAATTTAGGTCATTTATATTGGCACTACAAGAACTGACAAAAATAAAATGGCCACATGACACTTGCGCGATAGACATATAGATGACCTACACTGAACTGTCCCACTAAACTCATAGACAAGGGGGCGCCACCATCGTTTAACTATACAGGATAAAATTTTGTAATGCCACCTGGAGGGAAAGTACTCTTAATACTGTAGATAGAAAATTTTACTCAAAGAAAACATTCATTTATTAGCGATCCGGTATTGACAGTGGCGCCCCCTTTCAATGTCACGGTTTGGATATCATATTTATGTGTATGGGACACTTCAGTGTTGTCCAACTTTAACCGGCTCAGCGAACTTCAGTAAATTAAGAGGGACAGCCATAGCAGATAACACAGAGTCGTTCAGGAGAGTGCGAGGAAGAGGTGCACCAACCGTAGTTAAGGAACGGGTTGGACGAACAAGGATAGGCGAATACAACTCGCGAGCCTTGACAGGGAAACGCTGGTTATACTTTGTCGAACATTAGCATGAGAATGGTTTGTCCAAAACATACATATGTTTGATCTTATTCAATGCAGGAGATTAAATGTCCTTTAGTCATGAAGACCCGTTTTTGATACTATAAGTTCTTTACGCGGTATAACGCAACAAATGAAGCCATAAGACAATAAAACCTTTTGTAGGAATTGTTTCAGATTTGTTAAATTAATGTATCTTATTCTACCGGCCTAGTTGTAGGGTTCCTCGAGAGAAGGGAGAAGTATACATACACCCAAGTTCGCATTTCGCAACCCTGAAAAACCTGCGTTACAACTATGGTGCACGAGAAACTGGGATATTTTGGCTCTTTTTGCTCTAATTCCTACAAACTGCATTCAACCAAATTGTAACCTTGGAGCGGCGTTTTCGCGCGAGTGCGGCGACGTCGGTGGGCGCGCGCGGCCGCTCGTCGTCGGGGCCCGCGCCCGCCGGCCCGGGGCCCGCCCCCGCCGGCCCGGGGCCCGCGCCCGCCGCCCCGGGGCCCGCGTCCGTGTCGGCGCCCAGGCGCGTCGCCAGCATCGTCAGCAGCTCTTCTACGCGCCCCAACTGATCGTTGACAAATATCATATTGAGTGTTGAAGAATGCGAACGTGTCAAAAAATAAAGCGGTCGAGATGCGAGCGCCCGGTGCACTTTTTCGAGAAAATCATTATTAAAATAAAATAAATAAGTCACAATATTGATCACTTCTTCGAGTATCAGAAGTGATTTAGTTTTTATATGCACCGATAGAATGAGGGTTTTCTTGACTGCGCTCACCGGCTCTTGTCCACCTGCCGCTCACCGGTTGGCGCGTCTGTCTTAACCGTGAGCGAGCGATAGGGATAAGCATTAGGGGAGGCCTATGTTCAGCAGTGGACGTCCTATGGCTGACATGATGATGATGATGATGATGATGAGCTATAGGACCTCACTCGCCAGTGGCGCCAATTGGTGAGCGCAATTAAGAAACCCTTATTAGAGTTATTAGTATTAAATCTATCGACAAAGAGGAGACTACAGTGTCTCATTTTATTTGTACTCGACCAGCCGTTAAGTAGGCCTAGGGTTCTAGGGACGTATGCCCCTTTTCACTATCAATCCCTATTTTTTATGGAATAGGGACTCTACGCTCACTAGGGAGTTAGATTCCTTCCTGACCTTATATCCCGGGCACGGGAGCGGTGCCCTACAACCGGGCACATGACTTCGATGAAATCACCGCGAACGCTTCACCGAGGGCTGAGATAGAAAGCGTCTGAAAAGGTTCCGACTGACTGATTTTTAATGCGACCCGAGCGACGAAAAACGTCGCATACGATTCGTCATCAATTTAAAAGAGCGCGGTCTCCGGTCGGACGGCGGGATGCGATTCCTTCACCTTCTGCTGCAGTCTCTGCACCTCGTTGCGCACGTCGCGCCGCAGCTCGGCCAGCGCCGCGTCGTGCGACGAGGCGGCGTGCGCCAGCGCCGCGGCCGACGCGGGCGCGCCGTGCAAGGCGCCGGTGTGGGCGCCGCCGGCGTGGGAGGCGCCGGTGAGCGAGGCGCCGGCGAGCGAGGAGGTGGCGGCAGGCGCCTGAGTGGACGCGTGCGCAGGCGCTGCAGCGGCGGGTGCCACGCGCTTCTCCTCTAACTCCTGATTTGTAAATAAATTAAAATTACTTTTGACTGATTTTACCAATCCGAACTGATTGTGCCTGAGGGATTGGGACTAGAGAGCTGTAATTTTGTGGAGTTATATCTGTTACAGTCAAAAGTTTTATAACGCCCTTGACAAAGTGGTAGAATCTATCTATATAAAAGCGAAAAGTCACATAGGGGTTCCTTTAGAACGTAGGTGCTCACTAAGACAGGATTTTGCAAAATTCAACCTATAAGGACGTAAAACGGGGTTCACGCGTACGAAGTCGCTTCTAACGTTTTCTTTACAATACAAGGCGGGCCCGTCTTTTCCGCACATTCTAATAGCCTGCTGGACCTTAGGGAATCCGATCACAGCCAGAAATCACCTATATTTCAGTTTTTAAGCGGTACGAAACACGCACGGTATGAGTTCTCAACGAAAGAGAAAAGAAAGTCTATGGTAAGACTGCACGTCATTGACGGTGCGTTGGCGCGTAATTCAAATCAATCAATTATTGCAGTCTTCAAATGCAATTTATAGAAGTTTATTTTCAATTTCTTTCTTACTTTCAAATTTCGAACTAAAGCGTTATATTTATACGATCCCAAATCGAATGATCATTTTGATTCAAATAGTAGGAAAGAGTTGAAGTGGCGCAAACAGAGTTTCTTGACATTTTTTGTTTCGTTAATTTAATATGTGCACTTTATCAAGACTCGCAATGTATTATAAGTGAACGTTAAGAAGCGACTCAGATGAAATAATTTAATAAATCATTTGCTTCTGAAATACATACATCGTGGTAACCACGGGCAACTATGGAACCCTACACTGCGCGGACCGAGCTCCGTTTACGAATTCGTTACGTCGGGACGTAAACGGCACAGAGTAAAAAGGATTTTCGATTCAATCGTCGACAGTACCTCCTCGATGGTGTCCTGGCGCGCGGCGCCCAGCGCGGACGCCGAGCGCGCCTTCGCGAACTGCGCCTTCAGCAGCGCGCCCGCCTCGCCCGCTCCCGCGCCCGCGCCCGCTCCCGCTCCCGCGCCCGCGCCCGCTCCCAGCGCCGCGGGCCACTCGCGCACGCTCAGGCTGCGCGCGAACACGCCGCGCGCGCCCTCGCCCGCGTCCAGCGAGCCGCCCGCCAGCAGCCGGCCCCACTTGCCGCGCGCCGCGCCCGCCCCGCCCGTCCCGCCCGCCCCTCCCGCGCCCGGCTCGCCCCGCTCGGGGTCCGCGGGACTGGCTGCGAAACAGTTTTGGGTTAGACGGAAGCCTTCAGGACTTCGTCGGTCGTCGTTCGAATGGCGTTTCCAAACTTTCGAACGTGGGAGTTTCCGGCGGCGCGGGCGCGGCGGCGACGCTGCGCTCGCGGCGGAAGCGCGAGAAGATCTTGCGCACGAGGTGGTCCTGCGCCTGCTCCAGCTGCGGCTCGCGCTTGCGGCGCTCCATGAGCTCGCGCTCGCGCCGCACGTCCGCCACCTGCGACGCGCGAACGGCTTTATTCCGATTATGTGCCCCCGAAATACAAAAAATGCTTAAAACTTTTTGAATGAATGACACTGACCACGTTTTGGTGAAAAATTTTTTAAAATAGAGCGCGCCTAGAGTAGATGACTTGATAAAAAATAGATGATGACGCACAAAAGGATCTCGGGTGGCGTACCTTGCGGAAGATGAGCCGGTGGCGCAGGTTGTAGGTGAGCGTGAGGTTGCGCGCGAAGGAGTTGGCGAAGGCCTGGTAGAAGTCCAGCACCTCCAGCAGGCGGTCGCGCTTGATGGTGTGCAGGTCGCAGTACGTCAGCGCGCGCACGTTGGCCGCCGACTGCCCCACGGCGCTGTCCTTCCAGAACGAGTCGCCGAACACGTCGCCCTTGCCTGCAACAAGCGCACTGTACCGCCCGCGCCTCGCCTCGCGCCGGGGCCGCGACCTGGCCGGGGACGGAACCTACCCAGGATGGCCACGACCTCGTCGTCCTGGATGACCTCGAGGCTGCCGGTGACGATGAAGCACAGCGAGTCGATGGACTCGCCCGTGTGGTACAGCAGGTCGCCGGGCGCCGAGTGCGACATGTGGAAGTGCATGGCCAGCGCGCGCAGGCAGCCGTCGGACGCCAGGCGGAAGGCCGGGTGCTCGTTGAACACCTTGCGGTTCAGGTGCACGCAGATGTCCGCCTTCATGTCCTTGGGGCAGTAGTTCAGCACCTGCAACGCGAGCGACACTCTACACCGCAGAACGGCCACAAGCAAAATTATTGGGTTACCGCTTCAAATTTTACGATGAAAATACTGAGTCGACAAAAGAGAACGCTGCATCTCTGTCCAGCCATCCAAATTCACTGACGACATAACAACGTAACCGGCCGCTCGCGGCACGGCACGCGGCGGCCGGGGCGTACCTTGTCGGTGTCGAGCCCCTTGGTCATGGCCCAGGTGGAGACGACGTAGTCCATGACGCGCTCGCTCAGCGCCTTGGGCACCTCGTGCAGCTTCATGAACTCGCGCACGTTGTTGAGCATGTCGTGGTACTTGGCCGTGGCCGACGTCATCTGCTGGATGATCGTGGTCACGTGCCCGAATATTGTCGCGTACAGAAGCGCTGCGAACAGCTACGAAGTTAGTCTCCGCGCTTTGGCGCTCCTTACTGTTAAATCTTTTCTTTTTACTTACGTCATGTTTTTAGGAAATGCGGTATTAATCGAATATAACAATAATAATATGATTATTTGACCAGTAACGCGCTCTGATTAAAATCTTACAATAAAAGGCACAGTGGAATAGCATTGACAAGACATATACAGGTTGTTAGGTAAATGGTTTCATAAGCGGATACTAGCCCATGTTAACATTATATGCATATAAATGGTATGGTGAAGTCAGAAAATTGATATTATCATTTTAATTATTTTAATTTTCTTAAAAATCTGATTTTAACAATTTAATTTTGTATGAACCCATTTACCTAACACCCTGTAGTCAACGCTGTGAACAATAACACGAAATTGTAGCAGTGATAGCCAAAGTGCCATTTATTGCTTTTCTGATAATAATTCTCTCATTCTAGCTTCTGGTTAATTTCGTCTAGCGCTAGGTGAAGGTGCTGCCTCACCGTCCTATCAACAACAACACAAACGACACGACCGGGGCGGGTGGCGCGAGTGAGACAACACTACTGGCGCGAGTGAGACAACACACCGGCGCGAGACCACACAGGTGACTGTCGCGACGCTTCGTGGGCCTGCACCGGGAGGGACGGGACAACCAAACGGGAAAACAAAACAACTACTAACGCCGACAACAGGATGTCAGAAAACAACACTCGCGAGTGAGGCGTGTCAGTAATGATGTGAAAATAATGAAATAATAAACAAAACATACTCAACTCGTTCACAAATTAAAAATACACAAAGTATCAGTTTAAATCAAAACAAAATCAACACGCATAGAAATGAAAATTGATAAGAATCACTACTAACAATGCCCTCTCTGAAATGTAATTTTTCAACAGCCTGAATGTGCGAGTCGTGGTCGGCGGCGCATTGCGGTTGCGGTGTGGGCGGCGCAGGCGAGCGCTGCGGCCCCACACGCGCGGCCGGCCCGGCCCGCACGCGGCGCGAACATAACTCGGGTGCGGCGCGGCCCCCCGCGCAGCGCCTGCCGGGGGGTCGCGCGGTGCTCCGGCTAATAACAGAAGAGTTCCGGCACCTGCTACGATCATCATGCAGATGGTGAAGATCTTCTCGTTATCGGTCTCGGCGGCGACGTTGCCGAAGCCCACGGAGGTCATGCAGGTCATGGTGAAGTAGAGCGCGGTCACGTACATGGTCTTGCGCGAGGGCCCGTTGACGAGCTCGGGCCCGTCGGACTCGTTGGACCACACGTACGAGTACGGGGTCTGCGTGACGTTGGCCAGCTTCCACAGCCACGAGTACTGCAGGCCCGAGTCGGCGTCGGAGCGGCCGATGGAGTACCACACGCAGGCCAGCCAGTGCGCCACCAGCATGTAGAAGCACAGCAGCAGGATGAGCATGGCGGCGCCGTACTCCAGGTAGCGGTCCAGCTTGCGCACCACGCGGCCCAGGCGCAGCAGCCGCACCACCTTCAGCGCGCTGAACAGGCTGCCGATGCCCTGCGGACGCGCCAGGTGTCGCCAGTGGCATCGAGTACATTCACACGTTTCGGTTTGAATATTTTTAAATCTAGGTCTAATTAAGTTTCGAGTTTCGAGCTTTATTTCATAATTCGAGCATATAATATGTTAGATAAAAGTAGTAGATTAACAAAATAAATCACATTATTATTATGTAGTTAAAATGCAACTAGTATTGAATGATTTTTTTGGTAGTTGCATTTGATAAAAACCTTAATTCTCTGATTTTATCAGGAATTTTGTATAGCAAACTATCATTATCGGCACTCGCACAACATTGACAAAAAGCAACCTATCCGCGTATCGCGTTAAAACCTGTTTAAATGAATTCAATGACAAAAAGCACTCACGTCCTCGTCGTGGTCGAAGGCGTTGAAGACGTCGTAGGGCAGGCACGAGAGCAGGTCGATGAGGAACCACGACTTGAAGTAGTTCTTGCGGATGACCTTGGGGTCGCTCACCACCTCGCCGCCCGGGCCCACGAACGTCGTGTGGAAGTTCAGCACGATGTCGATGAAGAACACCACGTCCACGATGGAGTCGATGACGAGCAGCGACACGTCCTCGCTCGTCTTGTTCTTGAAGGCCACGTTGTAGGGCACCATGATGGCCGTGTAGAAGGTCAGGCACAGGATGATCCAGTCCCAGATGGCCTTGAAGGCGCAGTAGTGCAGCAGGATGTGCGGCGGCGTCTTGGGCGCCTCCTGGCGGTACTGCGGCAGCACGTCGCCCGACAGCGACATCACCTGCGCACACTCGCTCGCTGCAGCCCGCCCGCGCGCGCGCCCCGGCCCGGGCCCGGCCGCGCGGGCGGGGTGCATACACGCATTCAAATAGGAAGAACAAAAGTGCAACAACGTACATGCGGTCGATTTGTTGCGAAATGCAATAGTTTGATCAGCGTTTACAAGTTTTTAACAAAATGTGTACATCGGAGGTGCTTAAGGAGTAGACGATACAGATTCTAACGGATGTTTTTAGAGGTATACAACTTTAAATTAGTTACACTGTTTCTAGTGATATATAATTTAATAGTTGGTGGTACATTTGTGGACAGTATGTTTTGCCATTTCATAATTAAATAGAATTACTTCAGAACAACGTTTGCAAATTGTGCAAAAATGTATTTTAAAAATCATGGTTCAGTATTCCATACAAACGTCCATATTACGGTCGACGTAATTTTCGTAACTTTTCATTCCTCAGATGAATGATATTAATGTGACAGAGCTATGGTTTCAACAAGATGGTGTTGCCATCCAACCAGCACGCGACACATTCAATTTATTGCGGGAAACAGTCGATGAGCGCATATTTTCACTCGATGGATCTTTGAATTTGCCTCCACTATCGGGTGATCTCACACATATGGATTATTTTCTCTGGGGATATGTGAAGTCCACTACTGCGCAGATAAACTAAGGAATTCAATGCCAACATTTGTCGCGTTATTGCCGATGTATGGCCCCAGTTGCTCGAAAAAGAAATTGAAAATTGGACATCTCGATTACGCTACATTTGAGCCAACCGTGGCGTCCTTTGGCCCGAAATCATTTTGAAGCATAAATGGCATAAGAACATCTTTTAAACAAAACCAATACCACGAGAATCAAACATATTTTTACATATTTTATTTCATTTTAAAGTTGTATACCTCTAAAAAAACACCCTATATAAGTTTAGTGAGGAATCTTATAGTTAGTAATAAAAAAAGGTTCGTACACATTAAGTCGCATTACACCTAGACCTACGGGAAAATGCAATGTTCTAGCAACAAAACGTGTATTCCAAAATGGACAGAGTATTTTGTAATTAAAATGCGTCGGCAAGTTATTGTCCTTGAGCTCTTAATGTGCGCGAATCTTCGATGAGACTTCAACTAATCAGACTAGCGTTACCCAAATAAAGTGCGGCGTGCTCCTCGGTGCGCTGATGGCTGTCGTGCGACTGTGACTGTGCGCGGCCGGCCGCGTGAGGACGCTGCGCCCGCGCCGACTCGCTGCTCGTTCTCTTCGATAGCTTCGAGAAACAATTCGGAACGAAGGAACCGCCAAGCACGGCCAACGCGACCCGCGGGAACACGAGCGGCGAGCCGGCGGCGCGCGCGCAGCGTGGGAGCGGTAGAGGTAGTACGTGCAGTGATTACATGCGGCGGGGCAGTACTGACATGCGCGAGGTGGCTCTGGCGCTGCGGCTCCTTGAGCGCCGGCAGCGCCGACACCAGCACGGAGCGCGAGCGCGTCACGCTGCGCGCCAGCTTCGCGAACTTCGACAGCCCTGCAACCGACACACCGCTAGCTGGGTCGCTGCCACACGAGCGCGCATCGCGAAAGGGAACCAGAAGTGCGGTACTCGCCTCCCTTGGGGTCGTCGGCGTCGATGGGCTGCTTGAGCGCCGTGATGTCGCGGAAGGTGAGCAGGAACAGCACCACCAGCTCGCGCTCGTTGCGGATGGGCGCCACCTGCACCAGCAGCCACAGCGGCGTGCCTGCAACACAGCGCCGCTACACACGCCGCCTCTCGCGTCTTCGCGGCTTCGGCTCCACGAGGATATTTACATTTCGGCGACTCGATGTAAATATAAGCAGTATTTCTGATATAAGCGACATCTATTGTAAATTTTTTAAGACGCCGAAGTATGTACATATACTTTGCAGTGTCACCAGTAAATGCTTGTATGTTTGCACTTAATCTATAAGTAATGTGAAAAATTTCAGCAATGTGTTATCGAGAAAACTATCACTCAACATGCAAAATTTGGAAATCATTTGATCGTAGATATTGTTTGAAACATTTTTAGTTCGACTAATCTATTGTTTGTAATACCATAACAAATAGCTATCTCTCGTACAATCTCTAGCAGTGAACGGGTCAAAAGCTTATTATATGTATGTACCTACATTTTATACATACAAAAACTACGTGGAATATAGTACCTGGATAGCTACAGTCATCTATTACGTCATCATCAATAGTTTTAGCGTGCCTATGCGTATGTAGATCGTAGATTGTAGCAACGGCATACATACATCAGGTAAATTTTAAATGATATACTACACTGTAAAAAGATAAGGCGGCAGAAACCTAGCAGTCATACTTCAAAATACGTTATACGAGTCATCGAGTCAAAAAGCTGCCGCAATTTTAAAAGTAAGAATGTAGGTGTTTAAATTAATGTGTTTAAGAGGACACAGTAATTTGCCGTGATATGATTATGGGCGATTACTGTGGGTGAGCATTACGGGGGCGTCCGGAGGCCGCCCGGCGTCTGCCACCGTCGCATGCCACACTGTACTTTACATCGAGATATTGAGCTGCAGCACCTGACAACCTTTTACTTGGAGCGGAATTTATAAATTCATCCAAAATTTAATCAGAAGCATAATAGAATAGTCGCATTTCTTATTTTGATTAAGATCAGGCTCGTGCAGAAATAAGATTGTTGAAAATATGGAAAGTTGGCGAGGTAAGCGGAGTACTGGTGAACTGCAAGCAAGTAGAGAATAAAGTTAGTGTCGTGAGTTAATACTTACAACAGCCAATACCTTCTATACCTATGGTCATAAAACGAGATTATGTCAGTATGACCCCGCAGAGGCGCCCCCAACGGCGACAGATCTGCCGACCTGTCCCCATCAGGGCGCCACGCCGTCTGGCGGGCTCAGGGCTATAGCGCTATTTATGGGAGCCTTTTATTGCCGGGCTTTAGGTTTTGCAACAGTTTACGAGATGTTGTTTAATAAGGATTCTTGTTTGCATTTTTTGCATCAAGATACTAAGAAAAAATAAAAACCCTGAGTATCTGCACAAACAGACAACTGAAAGGCGCGGGCAAACAATAAAGCGAGAGGAACAAGCGGCGACAAACATGGATTTAATTAGCGGCCCGCGGGTGCAGCCGGCCGGCTCGTTCTCTTTTATTCCCGCGATAAACAAGCGGCCAATCTCGCGGCGCGCTGTCGACGTTCCAATAAATGTCGTCCGTCTACGCACGTAGCATAACATACCTACTCCCCCATAGTCCCATGTGGGCAATGCTGTGTCTAATTTAGGTTGAGTTCAATTTTCTGCTCTCCGTAAATATGCAAATAAATACGACGAACTTACGAGTAAAATAAAATTATGGAATCACCCGTTGTGTTTGGTTTCGAGCGATCTTAAGAACTCAACAACTATGTATGTGTCTATGGTATCAATTAAATTATATTATAATAAATACCTATGTACCTACAGGGTATTTGGCGGAAGGTTAGACAAACTTCGTGGGTGTATAGGTAAGGTCATTTTAAGAATACAAGTTCGCCCATTTGAGCCTGAGTAAGCTACTTTTTTTTAATTGATATTTATGTTTTTATTTATTTTTTTCCAAAATTTGGCCTAAAAACTACTTTTTTTTCTCGCGTATTTTCAACCGGTTTTTTTATTTGATATTAATATCGAATATGTCTTTAGTCAAATAAATAAAATATCAGATCCAGAAAATGATTGGATAGCTAGTTACGAACCGCCAAAGTTTAACAAAAGTAAAAACCACGATAAAAAATTCAACTTAGAATTCAATTAAAAAAAATAAAGATGATAATGGATTGCCAATGATCTTAAAAACATCTCTAGCTTCTCTTCTTTCCAATGATATATCACATGTAGTAATGAGATATTGAAATTCGTCAAAAATTCCATGTTTATGGAAGAGAATGGAATAATAATACAAAAATTATCCATACAGTTTTCAGGTCAAATTTCTGAAAAAAAAAACAAAAATGACAATTGAAAAAAAGTAGCTCACTTAGGGTCAAATGGGCAAACTTGTATTCTTAAAATGACCTATACACCCACGAAGTTTATCTAACCTCCGCCAAACAACCTGTATAATATTATCTTTAAATTAAATCTTTAAAATGGTAATATTTTTACCCGACTGCGCCAGAAGGAGGGTTATGTTTTTATTTATCTTTAGTTATTTAGTTTTTACGATAGCTCGAAAGAAATTTGGAGATAGGTACCATACTTTTGCTCGCAAGTGGTAAAGACAAGTATAATAAGGTTTATATCCCTAGCAAACATCATCACATCAAGCTGCAGCATCTTTACAACCAGTTTAGTAGATAACGTAGAAGGAAGTCTTTGAACGCTCAGTAACAGGGGCGCAAGAAAGAAGCTGTTTGTCGATAGGAACCTGCACGTAAAGGCCTCGCGGGCTCGCGGGCTGGCTTCAGTCACGTGCGTGCGAGACGCGCTATGTGCACACTTAACATGTTGTCCACAACATTCATTATAATTTTAGAAAATAAATGTAATATGTTACATCAAAACACATAATCGGTCAAAACACTTTTGAAAAAGTTTAGGCAATAGTGGCGCCTGTTTTAAAGAAAGCTAGTAGGTAGTTACAACTGGGAAAGTATGTGTTATACGTCGCCACTGGTGATAATCAGGATTGATTTTCTCATTTCCCAAAGCCAGTGGTGACAACAGGAATAGACGCTTTTAACCATTTGTAACCAAATGGTTGTCCATTCTTTTGCAGTAAAGTGGTTTTGACTAACGACATTTGTCAAAAAAACAGCTTTTGATTGCAAAAGTCAAAAGTGGTTTTGACCGATTATGAGTTTTGACTGTAGTCTGTAACATATACATACAATGTATGGGCTACGTTTTTAATTAAATATTTCTGCTCGAAAACTTCCACTTTTGCGTGTATTATATGTATAGTCGAAATGTATTTTTGAGTCTCGGTAAAGTATTGTATCAAAGTAACAGTAACGATCAAAATTGTACGATGATGCAGCGTTATTTTATACATGGAAAATATAAAAATTTTCAACTCGCCAAAGCAATGCAGACATTAATACAAAATCAATCATTTCAAGTGGCTCGTATGAATGTCAAGACTCAAGGTGAGCACCTACGAGTATAATGGAATGCGTTGAGGAAGGCTCGCTGTCAGTGCACGTCGAAGCCAGCCCGCGGGCCGCCGGGCGGGAGGGGTGTGTGTGTGTGTATACGCACGGTTCTTCTTGTAGAGCAGTATCTCGAACTGGTCGGCCAGGTGGTGGTCGAGCGCGCGGTCCACGCGCTCCACCGCCTCTTTCTCCGTCAGCTCGCCGTACATCCACGTGCACCTGCGCACACGGCTCACTGAATCAACTGGCGACGGCTCCCGACCGATCCGAAAACTCAACTTCCATATGTTTAACTTTTACTGGTCATAAATTCTGGTCTACCAAAAATAAAATATGTACCATCAACACAGATTAATTACTGACGACGTAGACGGTTATGCGACGAATCAGAATAGGTCATATTTTCAATGAAACGATGTGAAAAACCTACCCCCAGTTAAATTGCACTTTTTCAAAATTCGTTTTTATAAGTCTGAAAACACCGAATCGATGCATAGGTAGGTACATAATCATATCACGAAGATCAAAATCATTAACAGTGTTCCGATGATGATGGAAATGAAATAACAACAAAAGTGAATATATCGCTTGTGAAGTGATGTGCACTGAACGCGCGCTAATCCGTACCTGCAAGACTTCTGCATGACCTCCGCGCGGTTGTAGCCGCTCATCTTGCAGAAGGTCTCGTTGCAGTACACGATGGGGTAGTCCACGATCTGCGCGTTGGCCAGCAGGAAGCTGCTGTCTGCTGCGGAGACGCGCGGCGGTCAGGCGATACTATCTGGGACTTACTACAGCTATACTTCAAAACTGAGCGATAGATAATGACTAATATTTTTTTCGTTTTTTTGTACGATTTTGAATCCTTGTTAGATTCTGAGGCACTAAACCCTAACTGACACTGCCTGCCCCCTGATATCTCACTTAGGGCAGTGTTAGTGAAAGTTTACCATCATTTATCATGGACCTATTTAAACTCTTCATTGACTTTAAAAATTCTAGGGTAGGTTGATGATTCGATTTACCTACATTTTAAATCCCAACTAATATTATAAATGCGAAAGTAACTCTGTCTGTCTGTCTGTTACGCTTTCCCGCTTAAACCTCGCAACCGATTTTGATGAAATTTGGCATAGAGATAGTTTGAGTCCCGGGAAAGAACATAGGATAGTTTTTATATCCCGGTTTTTGAAACAGGGACGCGCGCGATAAAGTTTTTCTGTGACAGACAAAATTCCACGCGGGCGAAGCCGCGGGCGGAAAGCTAGTATTTGAATAAAAATCAAATGTGCGAGGTAACTTTTAATGAGCGATGATTATAGCCATATTGTCCTTTGTCACGCACATACTTAGGTCACCTTTCCGTTTATGGTTCTCCAACATTGCGCAGTATTATATGAACACAAAATGTGTTTGAGGAGGTCACATACATAAAGAAATATTGAATTAGCTCGTATATCATACTAAGCAAGCATTGGGTGGTGCATAGTTACTGACGCTGCGACGAGGAGCGGCGGATGATGTTCTCGAGGAAGGTGTTCTGCGGGGCGACGAGCCCCCGGCGGCCGCCCGGCATGCCGCCTGCGCGCGCTCACATCACCGGCACCTCGGCGCAGCCCGCGCCGCCCGTCGCCGGCGGCTGCGCACACAACACTTCGTCAAGCCAACCCCGCCCCGGTCGCTTTCACCGTAGGTAAAAAGATAAAAAGCGGGAGATTAAATTAGTCCGTCAGTTAACTTATTAAAAAAATAGACACGTATTTATCACCTTTTCAAACTAATGAAAATTTAAAAAGATAAAACGCGCCAAAATTCAAAAGAAGAGGCCCGTGCGTGACGTCAAGCGTGGTTAAAAATGTAGCACTGTGACGTCACGAGGAACTTCAACGCATCATAGTTCGTGATTACTTGTTTGATTGACAGATAAAATTATACGTGACCAATATTTTTTGATAATATAATTGACAAAGTTTTTTTAGGAAACTAACCTATTGAGTGTTGTCTGATATACTCGTAAGAGCTGGTGAACGCCAGACCTACGTCATTTTAAAAGAGCTGAAAGTTTGTCAGCATATGCTCTTAATATAGGTTTTTTTGAATGTTGGTAGGTACATTATGAAGTTTGGGTCATCGTGGCTTTGGCAGCTACCCTCAAAAAATTGTCTGGCAAGGAGCTGAATCTGTCAAAACTGTCTGCCCAAATACTAGACATAAAAATCAGCTTTTATGGTAGGTACAAGGTAAGTAGAATTACAGTCCAATGAATATACAGCAAAGGCCACCATAAGTTAGGTTTACGTTATAAAAGCTGATTGTTATACATAACATTTGGGCAATAATTAGAAGTAGTTTCCTCATCAGCTAGACAGTTTTGATAGTTCCTACTCCTTGCCAGACAATCTTTTGAGGGTAGCTGCCTAAGCCACGACGACCCAAACTTAATAATGCACCAACATTCTAATCTATAAGTATTGGGAGCATATACTGACAAACTTTCAGCTTTTATAAAATGACGTAGGTCTGGCGTTCACCAGCTCTTAGTCTATAGATCTTGATTTAGGACAGAGTTTGAAGATACCCAAATAAAATTGGAGACGAATTATAAGTATCATCGGCCAAGAGTCTTATCATCGCAACATCGGTGACAGACATTTGTTAATGTTACCACAGAATAATAATAAGTAGGTACTATGTTACCTACTTAAGTTGGGGAAATTGTAATTGGTTAACAATGACAATTTCCCCAATATAAACGACTCGTCCCATCACTACCTTTCCTGATTAATAAGCAAATATAAATGAGTTAACAAACATAAAAATAATATAGGCCTTCTACCAGAACGAGAACAGAATGAGTTAAGTTACTCAACAATCTCTTAAAGAGAAAGCCGATCATAACGGGGACACAATCCGATAGTCTAACTAAGAAGTCCGTCAATTTCTTGAAGACTTTTGTTTTTACGAATAAAACTTATTCCCGCATGTAAGGAATGATGGCACGTAACAGGACCATATAGGTAAATCCCAATGTAGATCGGTAATTTGTCGCTTTGACTACCTACTGCAAAATTTTCGTCAATTAAATTTATTATAAACTTATTTTTTACGTTTGTCGAAACTACCGTTTGTTTTCAGAAAAACTGTTTATCTGTTTTATGTAAACTTGTTTCGTTTTAGGGTTGTTAATGTATTGTCTCTAGGTAATCCTTAAGTCTACGTGCGAGTTTCCCTTTCAATATTCGGTTAAATAATCCTCCTAACGAATGTAATCCAATAACAGTAGTCCATACGTTTAATTAACGGGTCAAGGGACCCCATATGTATTCTGTGCCCATACACTCTAACCGAACATTTCCTTCAGAAACATCACTCAAATCCGTATCAACCTCAGCCCACTTAATTAAATTATACTTATTCCTAACTAAGTAATTTAATTTTAACCTTGATTCGCTTTAAATTTTAGCAAATAATTATTGTTCTACTATTGTAATCACCAAGACGACAGAAAAAATACAAGTAAATGATGTGATTAGCGATACACGTCAAACAATCAAGCACTAGCCTAACCTAACCTAACTGTTGAATTAATGGATGACGTACTACGCCGCAGTTGGGAAAACAGGTAACATTGGTTAGCAAAAATTACTATTAAATTAGTGATACCGAAACGTATAATTAATTAAAATTTGAATTTATTGAGTACGAATAACTCGCGTCGCATCCGTCAATAAAAAGCACGTATCCGTAAACAGGTGTAAACAGTAATCACGTATCAGTGAAATACTGGCATTTCAGAAAGGACAAAATGAATACTCGGCAGCGTGCTTGGTACGTGCGGAGGGTTCCACGAGCGGAACCCCGCTGTAGTGTGTATCGCCAATCGCGCACCGAGGGGATCGCTGACGACAATGCAGTAATGTAGGTCACGGAAGCACCAGCCCCGAGCAGCTGCCCCGCGGGGCTCTGACTCCTTGCGTTGCGTAAGAACTAAATAATTGGCTGTCTGTATGTTCACTTGCAGATGCGAAGATGATACGGAAAGCAGCCTTAAGTGAACATAAAAGCTTTAAATAAGACATGCCATGCATCGCCGAAGAAAACGCATCGAACATCACACGAACCTAGTTATTATTATCACTGAATAATAAGGTCACTAGAACGGTCCGAGGTCGCATCGATTCTCTGAGATTGATTGCACCGAAAGGAAGTCGGCGTGCCGCGGCCACTTCGCGGCCGAGCGGACGGGGAGTCGGAAACGTGAGGCGTTCAGGTTCGCGTATGCAGTGCTGCCGGAGCGAGCCCCGATCGATACTGTTTACGTGTCCGGGGCGAACGATCACGGGCCCCGGCACGCGGCCCTCCACGCGCCCGCCGGCCCCGGGCCCTGCGGCCTCATCAAATATTCACGCCGGCCCACAAACTCAACGCACCCACCTAATCACCCTTCCGTGCATCGGAAATCGCCGATTAACGGGCCGACCGGACCGGCAACTACGAAAGGAGACTTCGTTCGTCCTCTAATCCGATTTTGTGCTGGCGTGTCGCTCGACGAAGACTCCAAGCGATTCCGCGGTGTCGATTCTCATGTTTCGCGGAGCGATCGCGGATGAGTCGCAGCGAGCAGCGCGAGCAGGCACAGTAGACGGCGCTGAGACGGCGCGAGACTCCGCGCGGGCGGGCGCACTGCCGCCGCCGCCGCCGCCCGCCCCTCCCGAGCTCGCGCCTGCGCCCGCGGGCCCGATGACAGCCCCTTAACGTCGAATGCATACGCGACGCATCCATTCCAATTCTAACCCTTTGACCTCTCGGGAGGGTCACCGGTCGCCTCGCCCGTCGACGAACGTTTCCAACTATCTAGCGTGATTTTTATAACAAAAGATAAGTTTCAATATTACATAAATTAAGTTCATACTATGACGTAATATGTTTCTAGGATGAATTATTTATTTATTTATTTATTTAGGAAAACCAGGGTTTTACAGTGTGTAATAATGACATAAGATAGGCAACGAGTAAACCACTTATAGGTTCTTACAGGTAAAAACAATTTAAAAAATTTAGTGAGCGAAGGGATTCGATTAAAACATCGGGAAATGTGTATGTAACGGGTATTTTTTAGAAGTTTAGTTTTGGTAGTACATCAATATGTTTTGGCATTTTATTTATAACTAGCTGACCCGGCGAACTTCGTACCGCCTTAGCGTAGAGATTTTCTTAATATTTTTTTCCGTAAGAACCATCCTTGGACTTCCACAAACATTTTAAAAAAAGAATTATCGAAATCGGTTCAGCCGTTCACACGTGATGCCGTGACAACGCGAAACGGGTTTCATTTTTATATATATATAGATTAGAGATGAAACGGATATCCGGTAACTATCCGGTAGGCCGGATATCCGGCCTGAATTTACTATTCGGCCGGATACCGGATAGTAACTCACTATCCGGCCGGATACCGGATATTAAAAAACTACGACAATTTCCTATTAAGAAAATTAAATACATTAATCTTTGAGGTAAACATCAATAAATGGCTTATAATATGAAAATTAAAAAACATTTATTTAGTATCTTTTAAGTTAACATATGGTTGCAAGTGGCTGGGGTCTCCTTTTAAGTATAATACATGTGTTAGGAGGCCCCGCTCTTTCATAAAGTTACAAATATACATAATTAAGTTAAACAAGCCACAAAAACTCACAAGTACGTATTAGGTACTAGTACTAGAATAACGCTAGATATCATTAAAGTTTTGGTTACATTCAATAGTTTTATAATGACGGCTTTTATTTAAAGTCCAAAAAGTTACAAAAAGCCATATTAAGGCCTTTAAAAAAACTGATTTCTTTTTCTGGGCTATTCACTCTAATGACGAATAGTAAATATCTGTTAAGTCGAAATATTGCCAATTAAAATAGGCGATCTTTTTTTCACTGATGGCAGGCCTGGCTCACTCCGCGCGGTACATCCGATAATTACCTACAGCGAAGCGCCCCGCCGGCGGGTATTATATCAGTCGAGTGTCACGCGCGCGTCCGTCAGGACGCTGGCATGCGTTGTGGTATGATTATAATTCTATGATCGAAGTATTATTTAAAAATGGACATAAAGAGAAAGAAATATTGTGCGGCGTTCGGGTGTTTAAATTCGAAAAGAAATCTACCGGATTTATCTTTTTTTTTCGCTTCCCAAAGATGCTGAAAGGTATGTTGGCCATGTAGGTAATCAATAATTCTTAGGATATTATAGGAGCCTAACCTACCATGACTACTGTTCAGAATTCGTTCGTTCGTTTCAGCCAAATGACGTCCACTGCTGGACAAAGACCTCTCCCAAGGATTTCCATAATGAATGCATACTTACCTACATACGTACCTCATTACAAATAAGTAGATTAATTATTTTTTCACTAGACAGCAACCCTAACAGCGTAAGAAGAGTTCAGAGGCACGCGATAGAAAGAGACAAAACTTGTAGGTGAATAAAATTGTAGGTACGTAGTGCTGTGCGAGCTGAATTCCACTGTATCGCGTCGTAGCAAGACTCGCATTTATTTAAATCGTCTTGCGGAGTAATCCTTCTGTACCTGTACTATTACTTATTCTGTGCTATTGGTCTGATGTCATGATGCAGTTCAGTCAGATTATGCAGCAAGTTAACTAATTTAATTTTCGCTATTCAATTACACACTCACGATGGCAACCGAAATCGCCTGAATTGATCTGCCCCCTAGACTTGTGGCAAAATCTGACATTCTATTCGGACTGATTCGATTTTCGAAAAGTGTGACTAGTCTAGTCTACTAATAGACCCACTGATCGCGTTAGAAGCACACGTGCGGCGCTAAACTCGTCACGACATGCAACGAGACAATGGGCCAACTATCCGGCCGCCGGATATCCGGCTATCCGGCCTAGCAGCTGGCCGGATATCCGGTATCCGGTATCCGGCCAAACAACTATCCGTTTCATCTCTAATATAGATATAGATAGAAGATAGAAGACTAGCTGACCCGGCGAACTTCGTACCGCCTTAGCGTAGAGATTTTCTTAACTAGCTGACCCGGCGAACTTCGTACCGCCTTAGCGTAGAGATTTTCTTAATATTTTTTTCCGTAAGAACCATCCTTGGACTTCCACAAACATTTTAAAAAAAGAATTATCGAAATCGGTTCAGCCGTTCACACGTGATGCCGTGACAACGCGAAACGGGTTTCATTTTTATATATATATAGATAGAAGATAGAAGACTAGCTGACCCGGCGAACTTCGTACCGCCTTAGCGTAGAGATTTTCTTAACTAGCTGACCCGGCGAACTTCGTACCGCCTTAGCGTAGAGATTTTCTTAATATTTTTTTCCGTAAGAACCATCCTTGGACTTCCACAAACATTTTAAAAAAAGAATTATCGAAATCGGTTCAGCCGTTCACACGTGATGCCGTGACAACGCGAAACGGGTTTCATTTTTATATATATATAGATAGATAAAATTGGGAAATTCGTTAAATAATATTGAACACTTCGTAAAAATCGTAACGTTACGCTACAATCGATGTACTTAGTACTTACCGTATAGTTCGCGAGGCCTAAAGCTTCAACCAAACCAACGCGTGTACCTAGATCGTCATCGCCGGCGCGATCATAGGCCAATGACGACGGGTAGCGCGACCTGTCATACGCCTATGATCACACCTATGCTCGCGTCGGCGATGGCGATCTTCAGTTCTGCACGCGTTGGTTGCTGAGCTTTGCATTTGTGTGAGTGATCACCAAAAGTAGAGTCAGACTTAGGGTTGCCAGGTGTCACATGCGCGTTTCAGGATGTTGGGCTACCGATTCAAAGATGATACTAATTGCGCCGCGTGACATCGCAAAAAGTCCGGCTTTTAGGGTAAAATGTCCGGCCATTAATTTGGAGTCCGGCTTTTGTTTTTGGACCTGGCAAGCAACCTGTCAGACTAAAAATAAAGAAAGTTTGTATCAAAAATTTAACAGAAAAACAAAACAATAATAATTAAAATGCTACAAGTACAAAAGGTGAAGTGTGACAGATGCGCGGCGGATTTGCGCCTTAGACCAAAAAACTGCTGTCACACCTACACTATCCATGTGCACTCGCACAAATGCAAAGCTCAGCCTCGGGATCTGTAGTCTCCTATATCGAGGTAGCATTATTTTGCAATTAAAAAGTTTAATAGTAAAAACAGAAATAAAAAATAAAACTCACCGCTCATCATTGTTCTGGCTAAAAACAAAACGTCAATAAAACAATAAGCTAAGATATAATTAACAACAAAATAATAATAATTAAAAAAAAAACAATAACAATCGCAGGGAAATAAAACATTTATATTTTTACATGTATTTATTACAAAGCAACGTACTTTCTTCTTGTTTTCTATTCTACAATAAAAACTGGGTATGTCCTATCCTACACCACTAATGTTTTCAACATCACGAAACTTGTCCATTACATTTGATTTTGCTTTGCAAAGTTCATACAACTTATTCGTAAATCCTAATATGCGATAGGGGTATTTCCTGGGTTAAAAAGCAAGAGTTTTAATTAGTCCGTCAGTTAACTTATCAAAAAATACTCGACACCTATTTTTCACTTTTTCAAACTAATGAAAATTTAAAGAGATACAGCGCGCCAAAGTTCAAAAGAAGAGGCCCGTGACGTCAATGAGTGCTTAAAATTGCAGCACTTTCAGCCAGTTGCAGAAAGCGTTCCCTAAAAATACCATTAGTTAATGAGTCATTAGTACTAATTAGTTCATTAAAATAAAGACGTTGCACAAAACATTAACAGTCCCTTTTAAAGGTCCTTTAGTTAAGGAATATTTCGCGCGGAACTTCAATGCACTATAACTTTGTAATTATGTGTTTGATTGACAATTAAAAATATACGTCCAATATTTTTTGATATTAAAATTTACGGACTAAAAAATTTTTTTAGGAAACTAGCCTATTGTATGGATGTTACTATTTCACGCAAAAATTACTGAACCGATTTTGATGACACTTTACAGTATTACTGTATACTAGCTTTTGACGCAGGCGAAGCCGTTGCGTGAAATTAAATTTGTCACAGATCATTATAAATTATCTATTTAAATTAAACCGAAATACCACTTACTGATTAAATAATCACGAAATCTGAGAAAGTATAAGATTACAAACTTGAAATCCTTATAGGATGTAGACATCCATAATAATGAATTTTACGAAACTCCACCCCTAAGGGGGTAAAACGGGGTCCACGCGTACGAAGTCGCGGACGCGGCCGCTAGTAGCCTATTCATAATAATGTAAAACAATAATACAGTGTGAGTCTTGATAAAGTGCACATATGAAAATAGGTGAAACTAGACCTATTTTTATAGACAAAAAAGGTCAAAATAGGTATATCTGAGACTTTTTTAAAAAAAATTATAGATTTTTTTTTCTTTCAATTAGGTACTTATTGTAAAGAAAACATAATAACTTTTAAAGTAAGAGGTGTATCCTCATAAAATAAAAACAGTATAATGCTAAATAACAGGCGATACTAAAAAAATACATAAAATACCCAGAAAATGGCAAAAAATAATAAAAAGTCACTTTTTTTTTAAATCTGCTTTTAAATTCGTGTTTTTTTGGTTATTTGATAAATTTCTCAAAAAAATGCTCCTATAACAGGTGGTTTTTATTACTTAGTATTATTCTCTATCGTATTACTTTTGTAAAACAAAAAATCGCATGTCTCTTCTATCCCTATCACAACATTTGCATGATCGTTTGAACAAAGGTCTGCCACCACATTATTCTCCGCCTCAGGTACAGACAATTTTAATTTTAATTAAAATGCTTATTTAAATTCGAAATCTTGTTTTTATTTGAAATCTAACTTGTCTTTATCAAAATTACAAATCTAGATCCACTTTCAGCTTCGTTGTCAACGAAGCGTTGAATAGCGCGCCCGGAGAGGCTTAGTTCAAACGATCAATGCAAACGTTGTGATAGGGATAGAGATATGAGGTTTTTGATTTTACAAAGGTAATACGATATAGAATAATACGAATTAATAAAACCACAACACAACCAAATAAGCAAAAAAACACGAATTTAAATGCAGATTTTTTTCAAAAAGTCATTTTTTATTATTTCTTGGCATTTTCTGGGAATGTTATGTTTTTTTTTAGTATTGCCTGTAATTTAGCATTATTACTGTTTTTATTTGATCAGGATATAGCTCTTAGTTTAAAACTTATTACGTTTTCTTTAAAATAAGTAATTGAAAGAAAAAAAATCTATAATAAAATAAAAAAATCCCAGATATTTTTACCTTTTTTTGGCGATCAAAATAGGTCTAGTTTCACCTATTTTCATATGTGCACTTTATCAAGACTCACACTGTATAATACTGTAGTTTCATCGAAATCCGTTCAGTAGCTTTTAAAAGAGTAACACATACACAAACTTTAACGATCAGTGACAAACAAATTTTCATGCGAGTCAATCCGCGGGCAAAAGCTAGTATGGAATAAAATTAAATGATGAGGAAATAAACATTTGAATAAGACTGTTGCAGAAAACCGTCAAAACCCTCTCGCAGGTGGGAAACGGTTATGGGCTCCAGTTAACGTCGTGTTTATGACGACGATTGCCCTTTAGGGCTCTTGTTCCGACTCCGCGGGGGCAGTCGACGAGTTCATCGCGCGACCTTGAGAGGTCGCCCCCTTAAAAATATTGGCACTTTGATACATTCTAGTCTTAGATTCAATTACAATTTTATTCATTTCAGAGTGTTCAGTATGTTGAAAAAAGTTTAGTTGGAGAATTTCCCCCGATGTCCGCCAGTGGGGGAGAAGAAGAACAACTAAAATGCCGATTACTTATGCTAGGCGTGAATGTGTCAAATGGAGTTCCATGTATAATGTACAGTTTATTGTAGCACGTCTAAAAAACAACAAGTTTTCATTTTGCGCTCAATAAAATAGGCTGATTAAACTAGAACCATGTCATAATTTACTATCCGTAAATAACACCAATAACACTCTCTTATTTTAACACTTATAATTTCAATTCAGAGTTAATATCGGTAATATCACATTAATTGCAAGAACATTACTCCGGAGCACGAATAAATATTGTTCAAAATCGACAATAATTCTCGCAATTAATAGTTTTCGTATGAAAAACAAAACAGGAACAGTATTATAAGGAATACGATTCTTACTATTGTGGGTAGTCACAAAATGTAATAACCACAAGTCACATTTCACACGCACTCAGTGTCCCGAGCGCGAAGGCAATTCAATAAGCTTCAATCCAATTCGCAGATCGGGGCGATCGTCAAGAGAAGTGCGCGGGCGCCGGCTACGTGGTCCGCGGCACGAGGCGCACGCCGCGCCGCACCAGCAGCGGGCGCGGGGTGGCGGGCGCGGGCGCGGCGCGCTTGGCCACGATGACGCGCGTGTAGCGCAGCGCGCCCCGCCGCGCGCCGCCGCGCCGCGAGCCGCTCGTCACCGTCACGCCGCCCGGCGGCACGCCCGCATCTGTCGACAACAGCCACCGTGTTCGATCGCCGAGAGCCGCCCGAGGCGTTGCGACGGGACTAGGGTTGCCATAGCCGGACACGTTTGGCTTTTTACGGTCTTGTCCGACCAAATATTGTGTTGTCCGGCTTTCGTGTATTTGGACCTGGCAACCCTAGACGGGACGGGTGTGCGGCGACCGCCTCGCGTCTAGGTGTGAAGTTAGAGTAGGCGCACACCGTTGATTTTTAGTTGGCCGATAGTTGTGCCCGATTTTAAATTGTATGAAGAATCCATTCCCATACTGATCAACTGCCCGACTAAACTATCGGCCGACGAAGAATCAACGGTGAGCGCCTACTCTTATACGACCTCGGGTCGTGCGGAGGATCTCTGGCGAGATTTTAAGGACTGTAAAAAACGAATCAATTTTCAAGTTCCGTATGTGATGACTCGTTTGGACGCGCACACTCGTCCGGTCAGCGTCGAACGGTTCGTGACGCCCAAAGTGGCCAAAATGATAACACAACCGTTATTCCGATCGTAACAAAGACGCGGTGCGAAGTCGTCGGCTACCTCGGGTGTCACGAAATGTTCGCCGTTGACTGTACATACAATCCGAGTGAGACCGACCTGGCTGCGGCGCGACGGTGCGGTCGTCGTCGGCGAACACGATGGGCAGCTGCATGATGTCTGCGGCGGCGAGCGCGGGCGCGGCGGCGGCGGCGGGAGCGGCGGGAGCGGCGAGAGCGAGCGGCGAGCTGCGGCGCGGCGGCATCAGCGCCAGCGGCGTGCCGCCCGGCCCCCGGGAGACCACGCGACCTTCTTACAAATTATTATACGGTGTGTCGTTATAACGTTTCCGATTATAAACGATTACGATTCGCATTCGCCTTTACAAAACTTTGTATAAAACGAGTTCAGTAATTACAAAACTTTGTATAAAACGAGTTCAATAAGTTTAGTGTAATTTGTACTCGGTACTCACCCACGATCTCAATGGAACGCGTGTCACTCCTGTTGAAAAATAAGCTTCGGTCATTTGAGTTATGAAGTGTAGCATTAAACGAAACAAATTATATTCCAAACAAACGAATCCTTTAATTTTTATTTTTTATTTTTCTTTATTCAGAAAACCACAGCTCTTTATAATAATAAGCTTTAATAGAAAATAGTTGCGGCGTCATTTCATCATCTCCCGTTTCCCGCGTTGCCGTCTCACTTGACTGACACTTTAACGTCCGTATTTACAAACATTACTATGAGGTCTCACAGTGCGCGTGGACGCACGTCGCACAGGGTAACACACGAACCAATCACATAGCTCTATTCAATGCTGTGCGTTCGATTTTCTGCTTCACTTAAGCAAGCATCGTTTGTGAATACGGGCTCAGTGAATAAAGCTCTCAGCGACGGAATAACGTGACTCAAGTCAGACTAATTTTCAAAACATAGAAATCGTACCCTGCAGCATGCGTCGCGTGCGCGGTGAGCGGCGCGAGCGGCGGCAGCGGCGGGGCGGCGGCGGCGGCGGCGGTAGAGGCGGCGGAGGCGGCGGCCTCGCGCGGGCCCTCCGCCGTCTGCAGCGCCGGCGCCAGCAGCAGCGCCCCGCGCACGGCGCCGCCGCTGGCCAGCGCGCCCGCCAGCGTGGCGCCGCCGCCGCAGCCGCCCACCACCACGGGCCGCGACCTGCGGGCGTCATCGAGCGCTCAGCCGAAGTCTTGTTTGCGACGGATCGACGGGTGGTTCGGTTTTGAGTGTGCTAGACTGTTCTTGGCATAAAGATCGAAACGATTCGATCTCGACTCGATTTAAAATTAAACTGTCGACTGCACGACTATTGCTTCTCTATACTTAGGTTGTAATAATTTTCAGTATTCTACTGATTTACTGCACGCTCAATTATTGTTTCGGAATCTCCTTCTGTGTAATTTTAATTTTATGTTTGAACTAAATAAATGTTCACTTTCCTGATCTACTATTAATCGTGAACACTGACAAACAAATTATTATTACCTAGATAAATGAGCTGTTCATTTTTCATGTTAAATTTTTCTAGCTGTAGTGTTTGTATCTACGTACTAGATAGATACAATACGCTGTCTCACGTACACAAGTGATAGGCAGTCACGTGACGTCGTTACGAGTGGGACGAGTCAGTCGTACGGCAGACGCCGGCGAGTACGGACGTGCCGCAGTGAGACGCTTGGTGTGACGGTGAGCCAGTGTGCACATTTACAAGTGGCGACGAGGATAAATACACATTTTTTGAAAAATAAGGAAAATAAAAGCATTCATTGCTCTTATTGTGCTGCAAATAAAACAATGAAAATCGATCGGATGGAACAGATGAAAGATTGGCCGAGCGGATACTGGCTGTTCTTCTTAGTTTTTCAAAGGAACATACGAGGACGCATGTCGCGCAGGATGGCCGTGTTGCAGACAGTCGTGAGCGCGTGCACTAAACTAGAATACGGGCGCGGCACCTGGAGGCGAATCGGCACATCACCATAATGATCATAGCAGGATGGATCGAACTGACTTTCACTCCTGACGCCGACAAGAGAAGAGATCATCGCGTGATATCCATGAAATTGGATGTACCCTGATATCCATTCAATTGGATGTACCCGTGATATCCATTAAATTGGATGTAGACGGCGGCGAGGCGCGCGTGGTCGGCGTGCGGCGCCAGCGCGGCGAGGCGCGCCTCCCACTCGTCGTCGTCGTCGGCGCCGTCGGAGTCGTCGTCGGAGTCGGCGGGGTCGGCGGGCGGCTCGGGCGGCGGCGGCGGCGCGGCCTCCACGTCGAGCGGCTCGGGCGCGGCGGCTCGCGCGGCCAGCAGCACGCGCACGCTGCCGCCGCCCGCGCCCGCGCCGCGCCCGTCGCGCGCGTACGAGTGCTCCACCCACACGTCCGACCTGCCGCCGTCCTGTCCCGACACATTCTTGTGAGAATATAAATTGATAAAGGGGTCGTTTTTCAATCATCGATTAACTTTTTTTCTGAATAACAACTGTTAACTGAGAAATCTCTCAGATAAAAGTTATTATTCAGAAAAAAAAAATCGATAATTTAGGCGTAAAATAATACAACATAATCATGATGTATTATTTTACGCCCAAATTTTCGCAAATTTATCGATTTGCGACGTCTCGTGGTAAAATAAACTTACATTTACATTTACAATTATATCCATTTGCAAGATTCTAAAGGGTTCGACCAGGTTTGACGTTCGTAAATATTCATGAGGGCAAAGCCGTGAATCGCATCAAAATGTGTGTGAGCAAATTAAAGGCGTGTTTGTCGGTGACCTGCCGTCAGTTTCAAGCCTGTGGCAGGCCTTTTTGGGACAAATCTATTGCTTATATCTTAGACGAACTGTCTACTCGCTAACAGCAATCCTACGAACATTTCTGAGCTCTTGCTGGACGTCGATATCAGTCAAATGATGATTTCATAGAGAGGTTGACATGAAAAAACGGTCAAACCCTCTGCGATGTGCACCGGCGCTGTTCAGAACTTGGTCTCGGGATAAAGCCACTAGTCTCCCGAAAGCGTCTTAAAACTTTCGAAACCCAGGACTGGCTTATGTGGAGCTGACGTGCGACAGCCCGCTGGTTGAGCCCTTCTTGTAATATTGCAAAGATTTGTGCTGCTTCTGAAGGTGTAGAATTCCAGGTAAAGTGTCAAAAGAAGCGGAGAAGTGTATGGATCAACGTGTGAAAGCAAAAATCCGAAAACACGTGCTTTTATAGGGGGTAAATAGGCCGCAACTCGCGACGTATCAAACAGTTGATACATGTCTTTTTCCTTACTTTTTCACATCAACCGCGATTTTTTTTAAAATACTGGTGTGATTTAAATGAATTTGGTATCAATTTAAAGTTAAAAGTTTAATCTTTAAAATGGTGCCACTTTTTTTGTTACTAACAAATTCGTTAGTACAGTCGCGGAATGTAAAGGTGGTAAAGGTTCGTCACCTTAATGTCGGTTTTCGCTTGCACTAGGTACTGTAAGAGTCAAACCTGCCAATATAACCGTGCAAGAAACAGTGCTGCTAACATTTAAATAAATATGACGTTTGCTAACAAATAAGGTTTTATTTTTCTATCCCATCACGATGGCTCCTACGTATAAAGGCGAAACTGCCGCTTACGCCTTTTTCCAATTATTTAAGCAATGATTTGACTTTGCTGTAATCTATAACGTCAGTAAGAAAAAAAATGTTTTTTCCATTAGATACAAAATAAAATTATAGACAAATAGGCGTATGTGCAAAACAACGCCACGTATAAAGCCCAATCATACGATTCGTCCATCTATACGAGTAGTTGCTTACATAAATATAGGTGGTAGTAATGGTAGGGTTAATACTGGGACGTGTAAAAGTGCTTTTTTTAAGCCTATTTAAGCAATGATTTGACTTTGCTGTAATCTATAACGTCAGTAAGAAAAAAAATGTTTTTTCCATTAGATACAAAATAAAATTATAGACAAATAGGCGTATGTGCAAAACAACGCCACGTATAAAGCCCAATCATACGATTCGTCCATCTATACGAGTAGTTGCTTACATAAATATAGGTGGTAGTAATGGTAGGGTTAATACTGGGACGTGTAAAAGTGCTTTTTTTAAGCCTATTTACAGAAATAAATGAGTTTTATGAGTTTTATGAGTTTTTATACAGGGTGTTGATTTCAATACCCGCCATATTTAGGGAGTTGATTAAGTAGCTTATTCTGATCACGAATCAGCAAAAAAACTGACTTCAAAATTTTTTAAAATTATTTTTTAAATATCTACGATTTCCATAATCGACCACTACAGTGCAGAATAGTCCCCCAACGAAAACGGCGCGCGGCTGGCGCGGCGCTCACCCGGTGACCCGGGCAAGCGCTGCACCCCCCGTCCCGCGCCCCACTACCCGCGCTCGCCCATGAGTCAGTCAACTATCAGCCACAATCAGCTGTGAGTTTAAAGACGATTACTGGACTGAGCTTAATCCAAATCTACCCTAAAAATGTAATGAATAAATTAGTTACTTACACCTTATCACGTTACGAGTTTATTTTTGGTCTAAAAACTAATTAATTAAGTACTCTTTAATTAATAAAAAACCTTTTACACGAATTTGCTTCCTTCCGCAAAATATTTTTTTTTACAGAACCTACATTTTTTTTTTAAATTAAACCATGCTTTTATGTGTGTGACAAGCTTGTAACTACTTATCATTCAAAAGTACTGTAAACAGATGACAATAATGCTCTTTCATACAGGTTCGTTATTCCTTACATCTCTAGCTCTCTACCTTAATAACTTATTACGTCTTTACGATAGTACCTAATTATTNCGCACCCTTAATAATGAATGGGCACAACTCCAAAATTCAGTTTTTTGGGAAAAGCCAAAAAACCAATCGGCAGATCGCGGTTTTTTACATAATTGGCTCTAAAATATTTATTTTATCAGCTACAACTTTCAAATTAAGCATACTTCATCACTGGTATCTGTTATATAATTTGACATAAGACATTTTTGAAAATATTGATTATGAGTATTTAAAAAGTTTTTTTAAAAAAATATTTCAAAGTTAGGCCTTTATTTTACTATTTCGGTTGTTGTGATTTTGGGTATTACTTGTACTTGTGCCCATCTAATCCTTAGGCTGAATTGTTTTATATGGCATATTCTCTAATATTGCTCTCTAATATTTAAAAATAAGTGTATTATTCGATTTTTATATTGATTTACGCCCAATAACATTGGGGACAGTTATTGTGTGGTATAGTAGCTTATAGCCAATTCAGTATAAGAGTAGGGTGCTGAATACTAGAAAATTATTAGATATGTCGAATTAGATTAAAATAAAGACTATTAGCTATTTCTCTGAGAAAACCGACATGAAAATACTAATTTTATGCATTCAAAATATTTTTATTTAGATAGATAGGTACTCTTACCCTATAAAAAATATGCTTTTCATCAAATAAAGAAAAAACCTACAAAAACTTTTTCTGTAAGGTTTTCTGTTATGGATTTGTTCAGGATAATCACTTATTAAAGTCCAACAGCCAGTCCCTTGGTATCTTTTTTCCACTATCCTGCTGTCCTGGTGGAAGGAACCGTTCTCCTTGTCCCTTACTATAATCACCCACATTATGTGGGAATCAGTTCAAATGGCTATTGTAAAAAATATAATTTAATACTCAAATTGGCGTGTGTAATTTTTGAAAGATTTTAGCAACCAATTTTGAACACAAGAATATCCATTCTGGTGTTCTAACATTCCCCAAAAAATATTTTACTACTAAAGCACCTTAGCCATGCTTCAGATTCAATTTGTGTTAGGTATATGGTTTACAAATACAGTCTTTTATAAAAGCACGGCTTTGCAGTCCAT